GGGCAGAGGGAGGTTTTATGTGTGGGAGGGTGGGGTGTTTGTGAGGGGGAGGGGTGAGTGTGGGGGAGGGGGTGGTATTGGGGGCAGAGGGAGGTTTTATGTGTGGGAGGGTGGGGTGTTTGTGAGGGGGAGGGGTGAGTGTGGGGGAGGGGGTGGTATTGGGGGCAGAGGGAGGTTTTATGTGTGGGAGGGTGGGGTGTTTGTGAGGGGAGGGTCAGTGGGTGGTGTGGTGTGAGTGGGGGGTGTTTGTGAGGGGGAGGATGGGGTGAGGGATGGGTTGGGGTGTTTGTGAGGGGGAGGGTGTTGTGGTGTGAGGGGAGAGGGAGTGGGTGATGTTTGTGTGGGGGGGTGGCGGGTAGCCCCAGTCTTCTGCCCCATTCCCACTCTGCTAACCCCCGCGCCCCGAGTCTTCCTCACTTCTTGTCCTGATCTGTTGCTGCCACCCCCACCCCAGAGGTGGTTGCTCTTCGGTGCAGCGGGATAGGCCGGGGAGCCCAGTTTGTAGCAATCGGGCCCTCTGGGAAGAGGCCACTGGGGCCGCCTGGTCTGGGGTTAGAACCCAGGACCCCAAGTCAGGCGCTTCCGCGTCTGCCCGCTGCTCTGAGTGACCCCCAAGGCCCCAGGCTGGGCACCCACCTGCTCTCATGGAGCTGGGGCGCCCTCTGGTGGCTGACTGGGAACAGCAGGCCCCCGAGTTTTCACCATGACCCCTCTGGGTGCTGCCCCTTGGCCTCTCCCTCGCCTAGGGTTTCTCTGCTGCTGCAGCTCGCTCTGCTGGTGACAGAGCCTGGGGCTGCAGCCGGGAGGGGTGGGGTAGAAACCATACACGTTCGGCCCCCCACATCCCATGCCAGGAGCCAGGGCACAGGGAGCTAAGGGACCAGTCCCCTTAACTCTGACCCCTGGGGCACCATCTAGCGATGGAGAGGGGCAGACCTCTGCTTGCCCCCTCCAGAGCTGGAAAGTGGGATAACTAGGGGGTGAAGGTGAGGGAGGGGCAGGGGCTAGAGCAGTGGTTCCCAAACTGGGGTTTGTGAACCCTTGGGCGTTTGCAAAACGTTAGAGGGGGTTCTCGGGGGAAAAAAATCCCTAATGGCGGACAGAGCTGTCCCTAGGGACCCCGGGCAGCCCGGAGCCCCTGGACTTCCAAGAGCTGAGCAGATCAAAGCAAGCATCGCTATCACACTGAGGAGACTGAAACTTCAAGTCTCCTTATAAGACATGGAAAGGGAGGTGGATATTTTTTGCTGTTTTTAAAATGAAATAGGCAGCTAGGATTGTTTTTACAATTATTACCAAGAACAAGTTTTGTGCGTTGTTTGCCTGGACTGCCAAGACCCGAATGCGTGTGTAGGAGGACTTCTGAGTTGGCTTCTTAACTCCCTATCTCCTGTTTCCCATCCGATGCTCCTTGAGGAAACCTAGGAGCCTTGTCTTAGACCAGGCTTATTCCGCTGATACGAGCTAGGAAAGTGAGAGCTTGGAAGAGTGTCGCCGTTTTCATCATGTAATAAATATACTGTCATGATACATAATCATTCATAATAGCGTGTAATAAACATGTCATAAAACCAAATGTTATATTTCCAAGATCACGGCTTTTATCATTTGTCAGGTACAGGAGACAATCCCTGGAAATATTCATTTTTAGGAGGGGGTTCGTGAGACTTGGCTGTGATGAGGGGGGAACTAGGGGCGGGGGCAGGGACTGGGGGGCCGGAGCTGGGGGTGGCTGTGGTGGTGGTGGGGAGCCAGGGCTGGGGCGATGGGGACAGGGACTAGGGGGGCCGGAGCTGGGGGAGGCTGGTTTCTAACGGGTCTGTTGTGTTTCAGGTGGCGCCCCCGCTAGGCCGGACAGCAGCAGGTGAGTGTCCCGGCCCCTCGGCTGTAGCTGTTGGCTCCCACCTGGTCCCAGGTCTGCTGCCCCCCGCACTCAGAGTGCCCTGGGAAGGGGCAGCAAGACTGGGGGAGCAGAGGGGATGGAGGAGAAAGAGCCGTGAGAGGGTTTGGGGAGGGGCAGGGGACTCGGGGTCCAGGGTGAGGGGGTTGAGACGGGGCAGGGGGTGGGGGGCTGGAGGAGGAGAGGGCAGCGGTGTGGGGTTTTTGAGGACGGTCTGGGAGAGGACAGGACAGTGGTGGGGGG